AATGCATTTTTCTAATTTCAATGATTTTCAATATCTACTATTTTAATAAAATTTCCCAAATAGAATTCAATTATTTAAAAAAATTTTTAATAAAATTGTATGCGAACATTTAATTATTTTTATAAATAATAAAAATTTCACAGGAATTCAATTATTTTCGTAAATAATAAATTTTTTCTAAGGAATTTAATTATTCTTTTCATAAAAAATAATTTAAAATTCTAGAAAATAATAATTGAATTAAAATGATAAAAATAATTTTGATGAAGTTACAGTAACAATATTCTTATAATATAAAATAATGATTTTATCTCTCGGTCGTCTTTAATTATTAGAAAACATGAAGAAATCGATCACTTCATTTATCGATTTCTTCATGTTTTATAGTTTTGAAAAATTTAATGTACATTTTTTGTAAATGGTCCGTAATTTTTCATTTTTGGTCCGTAAAGTCAGTATTTCTAAATACTTTCACTGGTTCGAGCCCTGAAATTTTTTACTAGAATTAAAAGTATTATTTTACTATTTACTTTTTTATTTAGTATTTTTAAACTATTCTTTCCTTTAAGTGTTAGTTAAAAATTACCATAAGAATTAGTATAGAAATTTTTTACTAAATCACAGTTAACAAAGAACCCAACAAACAATCGAAACAAAAATTAATTTAATTTCATAATTTTGTTTTTTAATTGTAAAAAAATTTTAAATTCGTTTTGTTTTAAAAATCTTTTACTGTAACTTTTACTATTTCATTTAGTAGTTTTCAATTATATTTTACTAAAGTTTAAAAAACGTTAAAAATAATTTTCAATTACTAAGTTTTGATTAAAATATTGAATTACTAATTTTGAATTGTTTAATTACCTAGTAGTTTTAAATTATTCTTTTCTTCAACTTTTAGTGAAAAATTACTAAGAGTTTGGGAAAAAAATTTTACCAATGCTAATATTAGTAGCATTTTTTACATTAGTAATTTTTTCATCACTTTTTTCAAAAGTATATTAAATCAAATTCCAAAAAACAAGAGCAAAAAAAACAAAAATTTTACAAATCAAATCCCGTGAAACTTTATATTTAAACAAGATTCTATCTTCTGATCTAACTGACTTTAATTCAGACTCTAAACAGCTTGTATAAAACGGTAAATAGTTACAAACTCGGTACAAATTTACATCGAGAAACTACTTTTCTAAAAAAAGAAAAAAAAATAATTAGGTACAAGAAATAAAAATAGAGATTTAAAAATGAAGTACACAAAATAGACAGAAACGAGCCAGAGAGAAATAGAGAGAGAGAGGGAAATAGTTTTTAATGCACCTTTTGTGTTTATTAGTAGTGACTGTAATAAATCTCTTAAAAAGTTCCGACCCTCGCAACTTTTGAAACACCCCGTATAACCTACACTATTACACACTGTATTCGAGTAACAGTACTGTGCTTGGAAGCACATTACGAGAGGCGATTCACACACCCAACGAAGCAAACCGTCACGAGAGACCGTATTCTAGACCCACCAGCAACAGCAGCAGCAGCAGCAGCAGAGCTCAGTCCCTGCTTGGACGAAGCTCAGTGGTTCTCATTGTCAACCATATCACGATGATGATAATAATAATACACAGGAAATAACATCCGATACTCTCCTTCTCTCTTCATTACAAAAAAGGAAACCCTTTCAAAAATTCAATTCTTCCATCATTTGTCTAAATAAAGACGTTGATAAATGCCGACTGATAAAAATAATGTGAACTCTGTTCTCTTTTTTTAATCGAGTTGCTAAATATATTGAAAGAAACTTTTACTTCCTGACCTTTTTCTCCATTCTCTGCTATACTTCTATGACTAGTAGTATTTTCTGTTTAACTGCAAGTATTTTATGATGATAACTACTAGTGTTTTCCACTGTATAACTGCTAGTATTTTCTACTGTATAACTACTAGTATTTTCTGCTGTACCAACTAAAAAATTTCCAGAAAATTTTTACTAGTATTTTTTTCTGTATAACTACTAGTTTTCCCTAAAATATACATATGTGACGCTCCACGAGAAAAGGGACCTTATTTACTCTTGTCATAAGGTCCCTTTTCTCGTGGAGCGTCACATATTAGTATTTTCTACAATTTACTATTAGAATTTTCTACTGTACACTGCTAATATAATTTCTACTAAAAATACTAGTAAATATATCGCAGGGCTCGAACCAGTGAAAGTATTTCAAAAAAATGGACTTTACGGACAAAAATGAAAAATTACGGAATGCTGACAAAAATATAACCAGTCCGAGTCAATTTAATTTTAACTATAAATTAAATTTGTCATAACTATAAAACATGAAGATATCGATAACTCCGAGTTCGGAGTGATTCGACTCGGAGTGATCGTTTTCTTCATGTTTTATAATTAATTAAAGATGACCGAGTGATAAAATCATTTTCAATTATTATTTTCAAGAAATTTTAACTAAAATTCATCGTAAAATCGATTATTTTTAATAATTTTCGAAAAAGTTCTTTGACAATTTTCAAATTCATTTGTTTACAATATTCAATTATTTTAGGAAATTTTATAATTATTCGTAAATTCTTCAATTAAATATATATTAGAAAATAAAAACCTCAAATAATATAAAAAAAAAATCCGCAATTAAACTTTCTCAAAAAAAATATATTTTAAAGCAATTTTTATGAGAAAATTCTACTAGATTTCAATTATTTAAATACAAAAAAACAATTTATTGAATAATAGCACGTTTCTTAAAATTGAATTCCCATAAAGAATTTTATAAATAAATTTTTAAATAATTTAATTCTTTTGACGAATTTTAATAAAATATTTAAGAATAATTACATATATCGAGAGGAATTCAATTACAATTGTATTAAAAATAATTGAAATTCTGCAATGAGTTTTATTATTTACCAAAACAATTGAATTTCTAATAAGAATTTTATTATTTTCCAAAATAATTTAATCCCTGTAGAAATTTTATTATTTATGAGAAGAAATGAGAAAGAAATTTATAAAAAAAATTTGTAAATAATAAAATTCCTGTGAAATTTTTAATATTTTTTGAAAATAATTAAAGGTTTGTGTAGAATTTTATATTAAATTGTTTTTTAAATAATTGAATTTTTTGGAAAATTTTATTAGAATAGTATAGATGCCTATTAAAAATCACTGAATTTCGGAGAAGAATTTAATTACCTATTTATTTCTAAAGATAATTTAAATTTGACAAGAATTTTATTAAATTTTTTAAAAATAATTGAATTTTGGAAAAGAATTTTATTATTTCTAAAGACAATTAAAATTTTAATAAGAATTTTATTAAATTTTTTGAAAATAATTGAATTTTGGAAAAGAATTTTATTATTTATAAAAATAATTGAAATTTTGACGAGAATTTAAAAAATTTTTTTGAAAATAATTGAAATTCTGCGAAGAAGTTTATTATTTATAAAGATAATTGAAATTTTGCCGAGAATTTAAAAAATTTTTTTGAAAATAATTGAATTTCTGCGAAGAAGTTTATTATTTATAAGGATAATTGAAATCTTGACAAGAATTTTATTAAATTTTTTGAAAATAATCGAATTCTTTTGACGAATTTTAATAACATATTTAAGAATAATAACATTTTTTCGAAGAATTCGATTACAATTGTATTAAAAAATAATTGAAATTCTGCAATCAGTTTAATTATTTATGAAAATAATTGAATTCCTAATAAGAATTTTATTATTTACCAAAATAATTGAATCCCTGTAGAAATTTTATTATTTATGAAAATAATTGAATGATTGCGAAGAAATTTATAAAAAAAATTTGTAAATAATAAAATTCCTGTGAAATTTTTAATATTTTTTTAAAATAATAAAATTAAAGGTTTGTGTTGAATTTTATTAAATTGTTTTTTAAATAATTGAATTCTGTTTGATAATTTTATTAAAATAGTAGATAGTAGATATATTAAAAGTCATTAAATTAAGGAAAATTTTTGAAAATAATTGAAATTTTGCCGATAATTTTATTAAAATTTTTTAAAACAATTCAATTTCGGAGAAGAATTTAGTTATTTATTTCTAAACATAATTGAAATTTGACAAGAATTTAATTAAAATTTTTCAAAACAGTTGAATTTCTCAGAAGAATTTTATTATTGTAAAAGAAAACAATTGAAATTTTTACAAGAACTTTTAAAAAAAATGAATTCTTCAGAATTGTTAATTTTCAAATCAGTTTTGATTAGAAAATTCTACGAGAATTCAATTATTTAAATACAAATAAAATTCAACTAAATAATTTATTGAATAATTGATTACTTCCTAAAAATAAATTCTCATACAGAATTTTATCAACAAATTTTTAAATAATTGAATTCTTTTGATGAATGTTAATAAAATTTTTATGATCTATGGCTAAGAAGTTTATATAAAATTTGTAAATAATTGAATATCTGATACAAATAATTATTTATTTAATAATAGAAAACTAATATTATTTTATTTGAACAAAATAAATTTTTTTCCAGTCTGAGTCCTCGAAAATATATTTTTCCTCCGGATGAGATTTACTGGAGTATTTTAATTTGTTTTTCAAGACAAATCTTTTTGGCATTATTTTATACCAACTGTTATGTGTACCCAATGGAAAATCAAATTCAAATCTAGCGTTGACCTACTTGATGAAGAGCTAGCAGTACTGCTTTACTGCTCGTTGCTCGATGCGAATGTTTTTTGAATTTCGCCTCCTATTGCCTTGATAGTACAATAATAATAATAATAATAATTATTATTATAAATAATAATAATAGTAATAATAAAAGTGTTTTTCCATCAAAAGAATAAAATGTCCCAACATAAATACTTCGTGCTTCGATGAATATTATTTTTTTCCTAATAAATAGAACAAATAAAAATCCTTTTACGAATTTTGCTTGTATAAACGCAGCAAGAGAGAGAGGATTAAAAAATAAAAGCGATTTTCTCCTGCTTTTTTCCAGAGGTCCGTGGTATTGGCTGGTGCCTAAATGGTGGCTCTGAGAGGGGTCCTAAGGAAGCATGAGGGAACGAACACCCTCTGCCGATGACACCCCAAAGAGGGCCCCACCGGCGCCACCTAGAGGTGAGTGCCCGACTTTCCACTAAATTTATATTCCATTCTATTTTCGCACTTGAACAATATTATTATGCAACTCAGGCTTATTGTGGTTATTTTACCTATCTAAGTATGTTTTTTAAACCAGCGGTTAATAAAGTGCCCATTATTGACCTAGGGCAATAAGGGTCACTTTATTAACTGCTCAATATTAATCGCGGTGAATAAAGTGACAATTATTGCCTAGGGCAATAATGGTCACTTTATAAACCGCTCGAAAGTCAATAAAGTACTCATTATTGCCCTAGAGCAATAATGGTCACTTTATTAACCAGCAAGTCTGTTATGGAAGAACTGAGCGTCCAAATACACCCTATACACTCACTATTTTCTCTATTACTACAATGTAAAAAATAAGAACTACTACATCCATTAACTCTAATTCTTTGCTAATTCTAATTCTAACTGCTAATTCGTAGTCGAAAACTATTTAATTCTTAGTTAAAAATACTAATTCGTAGTCGAAAACTATACTAATTCTTAGATAAAAGTACTAATTTCTTAGATAAAAGTATTAATTCCTAGTAAAAAATAACTAATTAATTAAATAACTATTAATTCTTAGTCAAAAATAGTAATTTATTTGTTGAGCCCAGTATGTAGTTCAATTTGATAAGTTTAGATACTAAATTAATTAGTACAGCCTAAAACAACAGAATTAGTAGTTTTCTACTACAAATTAGTAGTTTTTGACTAAAAATTAGTAAAACTAAAAACACTCACTAATTCATTTAATAAACGAATCGGTTCTATTCCATGAATCAAAGTGACTGATTCACATTTAGAGAGTAACAAGAAAAATTTTATTTCCTTCTTCTCATGACACTAAATTTTTTTTAAAGTAAAAATACAAAAACAACAATATAAGGATTATAAGGAAAGAAAAATTGGAAAAACAAAGAAAGAAAAATTGAAAAACTCAAAAAGAAATAAAAATGGAAGGTCAGAGAAAAGAAAAGAAATTAAAAATAAAAAGACAATAAAGAAACAAGAAAGCAAGAACCGCAGGGAAAAAAAGAAACAAACTGTAGATTACATTGCAAAAATTACATTGTGAAAAACAAATTAATACCGCAAAAACTATGAATTACATAGCAACAAATTAATACCAAAAACTGTGAATCAAATCGCAAGGAACTGATACCAAAAAATCTGTATCAAATCCTAAATTGATCTAAATTTTTCGTATCAATTTTGACCAATGATATCAATAGTTGCTATATACTTTCCAAGAAAACTATGTGAAAAATAAAACCTCAGAACAAATTTAGAAGCAACATGTTCACATTTAGTTGTATCCTTATTTCTTTACATTCTTATTTTAAACCAAGAAAACTTTTTTTCTTTTTTCTTTTTCTCCTTCACATAAACTGCGAACAAAACTGACAATTCCAAAATTGATAAACCTATCATCGGTATATATATATATATTGCAATTGCGTGTGTAATTTTGCAATTTATAGATACATCTAGCATATCGGTAATCCATGTAACTCTAATCAAAAACAGCCTTATGTGATCATTCCCAAGGCCTCGACACAGTGCTCGTAACGCATTCGTTGCATATACACACACACACAAACACACAGAGAAAAAACAATATTCACATACTCGAATACATATCAACTTGCAGCAACATTATCAGACCTACATCGTGCGGCAAAGTGCGTATACACGATGTAATAGTCATAGATTATGTACACAAAATTTATTTTTTCCCTGACCCAATATCATTTTTTTTGAAAAAAAAATAGAAAAAGAAACAAAAGGTAAAAATCTTTTTAAACTTTGGAACTAAAATTCTGTATCTTTCTAAAGTATGAATTAAAACAACACAACAAAAAATTGTGTATTTTAATACCTAAAAAATTTGATTCAAACTCCCCTCCCCCCCCTTGTTCTAATTTAATAATTTTTCATGCAGTTAAAATAGTAAATTAAAATAATAATGCGGGAAACATAACACAACACAAAATTGTGTATTTTAATACTGAATTAGTATTCTTTCTGTACTAAATGAAACAGTGCGGATTCGTTTACTTAATCAATAGTAAACATTCAACTAATTTTTAGTGTAGAAAATTACTATTTTACTATAGTAAACAACTACTAATTTCATGGGAAATTATCTAGTAATTAAAAGAGTTAAAGATTCACTCTATAGTGAAATAAATTTATTCTATAGTAGTAAATATTTTACTATAAATATTTCTATTACTATTATATTACCTACTATTAAAATAGTAGTTTTCTACACTCAGACCTCGGATATTATGATTCTCACGACTTTTTTCGACTATTTTCAAATAATGCCCCTTTCATCGACTTATATTAAAAAAATTGCGACTTTTTCGACTTTTCTTTCAAATTTTGCGACAAAGTACCATATTTTTTGGTATAAAATACAATTTATTTCGATTTTTATAGTATAAAAAGCATAACTATAGACAAATCTTTAAAAATTTATTTTTGAATAATATTTCTAATTAAATTTTTGAAGTATACAATTAAAAAGATTTTGAATAATTTAAATTTTGTAAAATTCAATTGAAAATAAATCATTTTTCGCACGTATTTTATTAAAATTTTTAAAAATTAACTTTTCAAGAATTTTAATGGAAAATTTTCAAAATAATATTGAATTCTCAAAAATTTTAATAAACAATCATCAAGTGTAAATTTAATAAAAATGAAAATTAATGAAAATTAGCTTTTAAAAATAATATTAAAATAGTTTTGAAGAAAGTAATTCTCTGGAATTATATTTCAAAATTTTTAATTAAAATTCTTCAAAAAATTATTATTTTTAAATATATTATACAAAAATTTTTCAATTATTATTTTTAAAAAATTTCATTACAATATTTATAAGAAACTAATTCTTGGAATTATTTTATCATAATTTTTTAAGATTCAATTACCTTCGAATAAAGTAAATTAAAATTTTTAAAAATGTACCTACTATTTTAGAATTTTTGAGAAATCATAATTAAAATTCTTCAAAAATTTGATTATTTTTTTAATATTTTTTAAAAACTCAATTAAAAAAACTCAACTTTTAAAAGATTTTATCAAATTTCAATTATTTTTTAAAAGATTTTACCAAATTTCAATTTTTCGACATTTTTTCATTGTATGTGAATGTAAAACTATTTTCTTCCAAAAATTATTTAGAAATTTAGAAAGTTAATTTTACGAATTTCTTTATTAAAATTTTTGAAAATATTTTACCTTAATATTTTTAAAAAGAAAAATTGATGGTTTCAATTATTATAAAAAATTGAATTTTTGTATTTAAATAATTGAATTCTCGTCATTTTTTATTAAAAATCAATCATTACTTGCTACTAATTTATATTTAATAAACAAATTGCTGCTGTCGAATTAGTCAAAAGTGACTAATTCAAAATTAGTCGACTCAAAAGTGAGTCGTTTTCTACTATAGTGGAAAAATACTAATTCACATTTAAAGAGTAAAAAAAACTTTAGGGAAAATAAATAAGGCAAAATTTTAAATATAGAAAAATATTAGAAGTTTCTTTGAAAATTTTTTTTTTCTGGTATAAAACAGATAATATTTATAACTTTGTCAGCGACAATCTACGGGTGCGACAACTTTCAAAACGTCCTGTGTAAAACCACGACAAATACACTCAAACAGCTCATATGTTCGTGTGTATAGACTGCCGTTGCGCGCATAATCCAGCACCAAAGTGCAAACGCACGTTTAATGTCGTGTGCGTATACTTTCCAACTCACACACACACACACACACACGAGCGAAAATTCCTTCTTCATCTTCACGCATTTAACACTGATGTATACATCACAACTAAGGAAAAAATTTAAATTATTTTATAATTCTTCTCATTACTCTCGACACTCAGTAAAAAAAAATATACTTGACTCAGGACACAGTAAATTTTTTATTCGTTTCAAAAAAATTTTATTTGGTTCAAGTAAATTTTATCTGATGCAACTAAATTTTACTTTTCGTCCCTCGACAAAAGAAATTTTAAAACTCACTTAATATTTTTCACAAATTTTCATTTTTACTTTTTTTTCTTTTCACTTAAACATTGCACTACTCTGTAAATTTGAATTAATAAAAATGTTTACTAATTTGAATTAGTGACTGGATTTTTGCTTTTAAATTAGTAATTTTTACTAATAATTAGTAATTTTTACTAATTTATTAGTAAAATTTACTAATTCAAAAAGCTTTTGCTATCAGTATAGTCAGTCAGTAAATTAAATTAGTAAACATTTTTACTAATTCAATATTTAGAGAGTATAGTTTATTAAGTTTAGTTTAATAAATTAAAATTAGTAAAATTTTCCTAATTTCAATAATTAGTGGATTTTGACTAATTCAATATAATAAATAGTCATTTTTACTAATTTATTAGTAAAATTTTTCTAATTTTAATAATTAGTGGATTTTGACTAATTCAATATAATAAATAGACATTTTTACCATAATTTATTAGTAAAATTTACTAATTTAAAAACAAAAAATTAGTCACTAATTCAAAATAATAAACGTTTTTACTAATTCAAATTTAGAGAGTACAAAAAAATTAGAACTGCTGAATAAAATAGTAAAATTTGACTCAAAAATAATTTTAAAAAATGCATACTAATTTTAGTAACTGAAGGAATAATAGTCCTATCAATATTATATTTAGTAATAAACTATATTCCATAAATAATATTACAACTATTAAGTAACAAATAAGGTGCTCATTAATTAGCTTATTTATGTATACACACTTGTACACAATTTATACAAAGTGTCAAATGTTTGAAAACTTATTTATTAAAATAATAATCGTTTCTTATTAAGTGAAAAATAATTACTAGATAATTACCTATTAATTATTAGGTACGATAATTACAATTAATATCAATAAATAACTATACCATTAAATATTACTATACGATAGACCGTAACTATTGATTTGATA